TATTTTCCACTCGGCGGATCAGCCGCGACGGAAGGATTCGTCGCGCGCGTCGCGCGCGCAATCGGCCACGTCGGCACCGCGTCGCGGACGCTCGAGGAAATCGAAATTCCGCACTTGTGCGTCGCGTCGCGCAGTCCGAGCGGTGACTAATACTCCGCAAGTCGGCTCTCCTACGGCTCGTGTACCTCACGTGCCACATGCACCGCAGCATATAAGTCCGTCGGTATCCACTACCCACCTTGCGTTGTCCTGCCTGCGGAGACCTGGCGGCGCGTAATTTTCTTTGTTCGCCGGGCCTACGAGCGGCGAGCACGTTTACGCGAAACTGTGCCGCGCATGCAGATAAGATTAAAGGTGATCGGCAACAGCCGGGGGCGACGATTAGCACGAGTCGAGCGGCGCGTCGAAGGACGTTTCTCGATGCCGCTCGTGGAATCTCCGAGTGTCATCGCGAGTAAGATGACCATACGTACTCTTTTTTTAAGAGTATATGTATGTCTCTTTCTAAGGTGGTAAAAAGAGTACTCTCTACTATTTATGTATCGTACTCTTGTATATATTCTTTTTTTCGTAATGTTAATTGTACTTTGTCGATAATCACCAGAGAGCAGACCTCGCTGACGTTTTTATCACTCACAACATTTGAGCGCCGCGAGCGCCAATACCGATTATGATATATATTAGTAGAGGTTCTGCGCAACTACCGAGCCACACTGCAAACGTAGAAGTAGTGTTTTCAGTATGATGAACGCTCAATGGACTGATGAAAGAAATAGGTTTACTGCACTGAGAGAAAAGTATATGATATTTGGAACTATAATGATACTAAGTAACTAAATTATAGTCCGAAATATCATATTTATAGTAAGTATTGCCATAGTATCGGTATAATGATTACGATATAGGCATGGTGTAACCAAGCATATAATATTTTTACTTGAGAATTATAGTAAGTTAAACTAAAATTATTGTATGGATACAAATCCATAAAATGGTAGGTAAAAGTAACTCTTTAATATAGTCAATATTAGCAGAATATTTGCTAAATGATGACAGATGTAACTATATGAATATTAAATCTCACTATATTTGTGAATGAGAAATTACCATATATGTGGTAAAAGTAACTAAACAATTATTTAAGACAATCATTGACTATATATTTGTGTTTATTCTACTGCATATTTTGCAGGTTCCACGAACTATAAAAATATGGTTGACGCCAAAATGAACTATAAAATATAGTGAGATTATGGTTAATTCAACTATACTTTTCCATCAGTGTGTTGACTCGGTAAAAAGTTTATTAATGGTTAAATACAATTATAAAGAATTTAATTCTTCTGAATTTCACGATTATTGTCTAAACAATAAGAAATTGTTAAGCGATGTACGGAGTAGTGCAAAATATAATTCTAAAATATCTTAATAACATAATAAAATATATGTGTTCGACTAATATTTCTCGGTTTATTTAGGTACCCACTATGCTCTGTTTTAAATATTATACCTAGTAATCCATTGATCATTGTCCCAGATAAAACACCAAATCATTTTGACGTCAAAATGACATAATTTTTATATTATTTGACGTCACCGTGACTTTCATATGATTCTGTGTTCTACTTACTGTACTCTTTTGGGACCGTAATTAGTACTCTTTTATTTTACCCGTTTTTTATTCTTTTTATATGACTGGGATATGGTCACCCTAATCGCGAGCATTGTCGTCGCATAACGACGATGTATTCACGCTGCGGCTCTCGACTCGACCTCGTCCGTGGAGTGAGCAAGAATCTCGCGACGGAAATTCAATCTTTAATCGATCGGCTCCAGCGCCTCGGTCGCTCTCGATCGGAAGCGCGTTCTCGCTGGCCAGCGTGACTTCCACGATCGTCCGGACTGATTGAACGTGTGACTGCAAGCGCGAGCGAAAATCGCACGGGGAAATGCCGATCGACGGCTCTTGCGGTCGATGAACCCGAGACTTCAATCCGAGCTTTTGCCGCGCGCGCCCTCCGTCGCAGCTAACTTATCTCCGCGCCCAGCCGAGACTGTATTTCACCGAGCCGCGCGCTTACGCTGCATAAACGCTCGCACAGGGGATAATTCTTCATGCGAGCGGGCGAGCGGGCGGACGAGAACGCGCACGAGATCGCGACCACCGAGCGTGACAATAACCGCGACGGATAAGTACCGCCGTAAGAGTAAGTAGAGACGGTGCTTATCGCGCGCAGTTATAAAGTATTGTCCCGTCGGCGGCGCGCGCGCGCTTTTGACATTTTACAGCGCTTCCTGATTATATTATCATACCGTGCCGAGAGCGAGCGCGCCACGTAGGTAGCACGTTACGTTAACGTCGCACTCGCGGCACTCGCGGCACTCGCGCGATTCGTCATGCCGCTCGCGTGGGAGGAGGCTCGCGATTTTCGCTAACGAGCGTCTCACTTTCACTCGCGTGACTTGGGACGCGCCATTGCCGGCGGATCTTTATTAATACGCCGCGGAATAACGTTTGCTCTTGCCGTCTCGCTGGCGCCTCCCTCGCGATCTTCTTCAACACCTCCTCGCCCTGTTTCATTCGCAGGACTCGGCCGGTTTTCGACGCGGACTCGTCGTCGCTAATAGGGATGCAACGATAAGTCGATAATATCGATAATGTCGATATGTCGAGAGACTGATATCGAATATTTATCGATATCTTTTTGTCTCCGATGAAATCGACATATCGGTGTGAATTTCACTGATTTTCGTATTTTTCAGTTACAGCTCTGGGGGGGCCTATTACGGCTCTACGGACGAGATGAAAATTACAAAAGTGAGTGAATTCACTGTGGTGATCTCCGGCAAATGACTGCGGTTCGTTATATATTTTCTAATAAGAATACGACAATAAATTATACGAAGATAAAAATCTTTAGAAGATCTCTTCAAAGTTTTCGTGCATACCCCTATATGTATACATCTTTTTATATAAATGTCGATATAAATATCGATATTTCTCAAGATTATCGATATTATCGTTATCGATGGTTCTGAATGACGATAATATCGTTATCGATATTTTGAGAAATCGTTGCATCCCTGGTCGCCGCGACTCTTCGAGAACTCTTCGGTGCTCTCAGGCAGTTCGAAGACCGCAACTCGTATTTTCTGTAGTCGCGTTCTCGTCGGAGATTCCTTTCGCTAAGGTTCCTCCTTGAACGGCGGACACGCGATTCAGCTGCATGAGATCGATTCCTCGTACTTGCAGCCGAGGAGATGTTTTAACGGCCCCACACTGAATGCGTCCTGTGATCAATGACATTTCGCAGACTAGTCCCGCCGTGATGCTGCGACGGCGGCGCGCAATCGCTCTCGCGGTTTATCCTCGACTAATAATCGCGCCGATCATGGGCGTGTCGCGTCAATCCACGGACGGATGAATGAGTGCTCGCGATTGGAAATGAGCCGTCGCGATACACGGCTACACTTCAACCTGCGTTTCCGCCGGCCGGCGCGGCGCGGCGCGGCGCGGCGCGGCGCGGAGCTCGAGTTACGGCCGAATAAGCGGCCGATAAATGTCGCGCGGCCTGGACGCAATTTGCGAGTCCTAATCCGCGCTGGTGACTCGCGTGTCTGCGCCGGCCGAACAATGTCGGCGGGTTCGGCAGAGGCGATATGCAAATAGCTACACAAGTACGACTCGCAATCGGTGGCCTCTAATCTGAGCCTGAGTGTGCCGAACGGTTAATGCCTTACGGTACCGCGAACGATACGTTGCCATGCGTATCAAATGGAAAGATTGTTGTTCCGTAGCGGTGTTCACCGTTATCCACGATCCTTTCGTTATTTCGCGCCGGTGCCGGTGCTCGTTGAATTGGCTCCGATCGCGAAATTGCGAGAGCCTTGCATCGGGATCAGCTTCGGCATCGCTCCGCCGAGTCGTTGTCCCGGCTATTTTCGCCGGATTCAATCCCAATATGTCTATTAAATGGTTATTGTGTATGAAACACGAGAGAAGCGCGTGTCGTGCTTTTCGTAATTTCCTCAATTTGCGATTCATTCGATCGGAACTCGGGCGGAAAAAGGGGATAATTTCTGCGCAATCGATTCCACTCGGGCATTCGCGTTACAATAAAACATTCTCCCACTCTCTTTCGCCTTTTAATCTGCGAGAGTAAATTATTGTCGAGGTATACACATTAACATGGATTATTGACACTGGAGTTCTAACCGTCCTCGTCCTTCAAAAAGCATAACCGCTGTGTATTAATTAAAAAAAGGACAAAAAATCCGGTGACTCGAGGAAGACCGTGAAAAATCTGGGAGATCCTTCCTACAGTCTCGCAAACCGATTTATCCATCTCCTCCGTCATCCGCGATATTCGCGCGCCTCGAGCACGCCTTGTAAAAGGCTTCTACGTGAGACACGCTTTCCAGACACGCGATTGATAGGCGCAATTAATTATTTAATCGCGAATGATTTAAACGGGACGCGCGTAACTGTAATTAACGACTCGCTCGTCGCGCGCTGTTTGCATACTCGCGCGCGCGCGCGCGCGCGCGAGAACGCGAGAGCGCTGGGAATCGATTAGCACCATTAAAATCATTCAATGTGAAAAAGAGTGAACACGCATCTGCCTGACCTGACCGGCGCGCGGAGCCGTTGCCGTCGGCTTGTAATACCGTTTAGTGAATGCACGCCTGCGAGCTTGTACGTATATCAGTTTCTAATCTGCGACACAGAGCACGCAGGCAGGACATGCTTCGAGGGGATCGTATGAACGTAACGAAGCGTGCGCGCACGTTCGTCGCGCCTCGCGCATATAATTATGCGAGCGCGCGCGCGCGCGAATGTCGGGATCCTCGAAATTATTGCAGTATAACCGCGCGTGAATTACGCCGAGATGCCCCTCCGCAGATAATACGAACGAGCGCGAATTCAGGAATTCAGCCGCTAACGGGCCTCGCATCGCGAATTTCCCACTCGCTGCCTCTATTTCTCGCGAGGGCTCGACCGAAGCGACGAAAATCGCGCCGGGGAGCGTGAATAAACTGCGCCCTCTCGGCCAGATACCGTAAGTCCTCGCTCGTGATATCGCCCCGTTCACTTCTAACGGATCTCCCTTGGGCGGACTTTCAATCCGACATGCAACTACGCACACATTCAGGTGAAAATCAACAGCACCGAGCGCGACGTGTTCGCGAGCAAAGCGTTTCCCAGATACCAGAGGTTTGATCGAGAAGTAAGGAGAATTTTGAAATTGCCCGCGCTGTATATCTTGTCTGTTCAGTTGATTCTTTTTTTGCGTGTTGATAGCACTACCAGTGACGAAGCTGCGACGCTTAGTTTGTGTTTGGCGAGCGAATGAGCGAGACGTACTTCGGTGTGTTTGGCGATTTTTTGTGCGGAGAAATGTCGGATCAGAGAGTTTGTCTGAAATGTTGTGTTAAGAACGGAATTAAGTGCAGCGAAGCGTTGAAAATGTTAAAGAAGACCCTTGGCGACGATATTATGTCACCAACCACGAGTTTATGAATGGTTGGTTACAAACGCTTTCGGAAAGGCCGAGAAGACATCGAAGATGGCGCGAGGTCTGGGCGCCCTAGCACGTCCACCAGTGATGAAAACGTGGGAAAAATTGAAGAGATTGTGCTCGCTAATAGAAGAATCACTATTAGAGAGGTTGCTGAAGAAATAGGAATTTCATACGGCTCATGCGAAGCGATTTTTACTAATGCTTTGAACATGAAGCGATTTATCCAACAGTTCTTGACGAAACACAACACCGTTGTGATGCCGCAATCATCTTATTCTCCAGATATGGCCCCCTGTGACTTTTTCCTATTTCCCAAACTCAAAAGGACACTCAAAGGATAACGTTTTTCGACAATGGACGGGGTAAAGGCGAGATCGCAGATCCAGCTCAAGACGATACCTAAAGAGGCGTTCCACCAGTGTTTTTCAAGCTGGAAACTACGTTGGCATAAGTGTACCAGGTATGTAAATATGAAACCCGAAGTTTTGTATAGAAAATACACGTTTATTGTATGAAAATGATAAAAAATATTTTATTCGCAGTATTGCCCATCGCTAGCTATACATTTTTCCCTGTCTGACAATTTGTGGATGCCACGGCAAAAAAACTGTTGCTCTTTTGAGGCAAACCAGTCATCGAGACATTTTCGTACATTTTCGTAAGAAGTGAAGCGCTGCTCAGCAAGTGCGTGTCCCATCGGTGCAAATAAGTAGTATTCGGACGGAGCCAAGTCTGGTGAGTAAGCCGCAAGCCTGCAAAGATATTTCCCAACTAAACGCCTCAATCATTTCCTTCACCAGTTTTTCTGTGTGTGATGGTGCATTATCATGGAGCAAAATCACTTTGTATTGCCTTTTTTGATATTCTGGTCGTTTTTCACGCAAAGCTTGATTCAAATCGATCATTTGTTGTCGGTAGCGTTCAGTATGAACGGTTTCGCCAGGTTTTAGCAGCTCATAATAGATCATACCCTTCTGATCCCACCAAACACAGAGCATTGTCTTCCGTCCATAGCGATCAGGCCTTGCAGTCGATGTCGATGATTCGCCTGGAGTTATCCATGATCTTTTACGCTTAGGATTCTCAAAATATATCCACTTTTCATCGCCAGTCACAATTCGATGGAGAAATGACTTTCTTTTGTACCTGGCGAGCAGCATTTCGCAAGTGGTCTTTCGGTTTTCCTGCTGTCTTTCATTCAGTTCATGTGGAACCCATTTTCCCATCTTCTGGATCTTTCCCATGGCTTTCAAACGTATGGAGACGGCTTCTCGTGTCACATCAAATTGATCCGCGAGTTGTTGTTGCGTTTGAGCGTCATCCTCTCATCCAACAATGCTTGCAATTCGCTGTCCTCAAACTTTTTCGGTGGTCTTCCACGTTCTTCGTTTTTCACGTCAAAATCGCCGCGTTTGAATTTTTTAAACCACTCAAAGCACTGCGATTTACCAAGAGCATGCTCACCGTAAGCTTCGACAAACATTCGATGCGATTCTGCAGCAGTTTTCTCCAAATGGTAACAGAAAATCAATGCTGTCCGCAAATGGTAAAATCCGACATATTCAACGCTATTACAAACTATGCTGTTGAAACTTGTATTGTTGTGAGTTGAAAATCCTTGTCAGATGTCAACAAATGGAAATGGCGCCAATGACGCGGTTTGACGGTAATTACATTGACAGCTAGGGCCATCTATGGGCAAATTCCGGTTTCATATTTACAGACCTGTATAATATCACAGGGGGACTACTTTGAAGGAGATGGGATAAACATTGAAGATTAAATGAATACTTTCCGAGAAAATTAAAAATTCTCATTACTTTTTTATCAAATCTCGTATATCCGTTACAGGCCAATCAAAGGACGCGCTTTGAGCCCTTCAAACGAGTTCCGAAGTCAAATTGAGGCCATCGAACGAAAGATCGAGTCGCGATCGAATCTCGCGGAAAGATATCCTCCTCGAAAGGTTGTTTGGTTCGAAAAGGACAAATCCTCAAACCAAGTCACCTTGTCTCCACTTCGGGCACTGATAGAAAAATATAGTTGAATTAACTATAATCTCACTATATTTTATAGTTCATTTTGGCGTCAACCATATTTTTATTTGTGTTCGTGGAACCTGCAAAATATAGTAGAATAAACACAAATATATAGTCAATGATTGTCTTAAATAATTGTTTAGTTACTTTTACCACATATATGCTAATTTCTCATTCACAAATATAGTGAGATTTAATATTCATATAGTTACATCTGTCATCATTTAGCAAATATTCTGCTAATATTGACTATATAAAAGAGTTACTTTACCTACCATTTTATGGATTTGTATCCATACAATAATTTTAGTTTAACTTACTATAATCCTTAGTAAAAATATTATATAGTTGGTTGTACTATGCCTATATCGTAATTATTACCGATATTATGGCAATACTTACTATAAATATGATATTTCGGACTATAATTTAGTTACTGTATCATTATAATTCCAAATATCATATACTTTTCTCTCAGTGGGCAAACTCACTCGACTCAACCGCAAGGGAAAAAATAACAAAGAGAATATCGGCAAAAGTCGAGGGAAAAAGACGCCAAGGAGCGTCGCCGGCGGACGAGTCCCGGGCGTATTTCGAGTCGAACGACACCTCGAGATCCGCACGAAGCCTAATGGCAATCAAGAGGATGAGAGGTCGCGCCGGGGGAAGCGACGTGTGCAAACGCAAATATGGTTTTCCGACGTCTCGCTAGTCGTAGTGACTCATCGCGCTCTCTCTCTCTCTCTCTCTCTCTCTCGCGCCGTCCTCTTCCTTCGACCCACACGAACTGACCGTCGACCATCCCACATCCTCGCTGGCTTCGTATTAAATTATATTAAATTATAAGGGAAACGCGCGCGTTTTTACGGACGATTGCTTCACACGACGAAGTACGACGCGTGCTCTCGGTGGCGCGACGACGGTTGACGGAAAATCGATGGCGGCGCTCGCTGCGACACGTCGAGACGCATCGACCGCACGCGCTAAGAATACTCCAGACTTGCGTGATACAATGCTTATTATGCCGGTCACGGTGCGCGTTGTGCTCTTGTTACATTATAACGGCTGAATGGAGCCGCTGACGACGTCGGGATTTGCTCGTAGCAGGTGGACGGAACGGTTACGCAACGTAGATAAAACGCGCTGATAACGCGCACGAGACATAGCTGCTGCGAGGAGCGTCGGCTCGTGCGTGCGTTAATTTGCGATCGAGGTCCCTTCGGCGAGGAAAAGCGACGGTCTGCACTTCCAGTGCGAGTCGATGGAATATTCAGAGTAGCGCGGAAGAGCGCGACGCGGCGCTTTCGAAGCAGGTTCGAGGCGGGAAGAAATCGACGGGATTGTTCTGTTCCGCATATTTGAGCGCAAAATTACTGTTTAATTATATCGTCCAGGTCCTTCGGGCCGGATGTAGTCTGCTTGAAAATATGACGCTGTAATTCATTCAACACGCGTGCCGATAAACGACTACCGTTATTCTTCCTCGTTATTCGACGTCGAGATTTTCCACGGCTGTCGCTCGCTGGTTTTCAGTTTGGCGTCGTGCAGCGCGCAACGTATTGCAACTGACCGACGCTCATTACTCCCGATTATCATGCTTGGTAAGATAATATGCATACGGTATACCATATCAGGAGTCACGCGGCGAACGATTTACGAAGTAAGCAAACTCGGCAACTGGCGCTAAGTGAAGGGGAGAATCGAGGAAACGTCGTCGATGACGAATCCCTCGCGGAGGCAGGAGATACTTTTGTTCCTCGCAGGCAAATTATTTTATATCGTCATTCTATATTATCCCTACAGAGGCGCCTTCTCCCTCCGCTGATTATCAGAAATCATTTCTAAAATTATCTTCTCATTTCGTCTTCATCTCTGGCCGACCATATTTCTCGCGTTTTCGTTTCTTCACGGTTTTGCAATTAACGTCTTATTCATTTATCGTATATAGAATTTTCCTATCTTCTACTTAATTCCATACCTATTTACTTATTACGTTTTTCAATTTTTTATTTATCATATTAAATGTGGAGTCATCGTACTAGAAGCGTTTTTGGTCGTCAATGTAATCATCGAGGTCACATCATCTGTTCCGCCGTGATTTCGAATTCTGCGCTGAGAAGAAGAAAAGGAAATTAAGACTCACCGACGCCAAGATGGTGACGAGATAGCGCTGCGTCCTCTCATAGTCCAGCGTACGATTGACAGTGACTTGGCCCTGGTGCGGCAGGTTGATGCTGAAGTAGCCGTAGCCGTCGGCGGTGGTGATCCGGTCGCGTCCGACGCCCTCGTTGCCGCCGATCATGCTGCTGTCGCCGGGCGCGATCGAGTACTCGACGATGCCGTTGACGCCGGCGTCGGCGTCCGCCGCCTCCACGTTCTTGAAGATCGTCGAGCCGACCGGAGTGAGCTGCGGCGCGGCATAACGAGGAAATTATTTTCAATACAATTTATCCGCGTCACGCCGCGGAGGAAGCGGCCGCGAGGAGATACGCGCTGGAAGTCACGGCTTTCCGTGCTTCCAGCTGCGATGAGAAATCGCGGGACGATATATTCCGGCGGTTCGTGCGGAATCGAGCGGGATGAAATTTATGCGGCGCGTAGACGCGATTTCAAGGGATGCTGGTTAATTGAAGGCCGGCGGGGTCAAACGACCCCGGCCGTCGGGATTAATAATTCGACCGTGCGCTCTCTCTCTCTCTCTCTCTCTCTCTCTCTCTCTCTCTCTCTCTCTCTATCTATCTATCTATCTATCAATCTCTCTCTCTCTCTCTCTCTCTCTCTCTCTCTCTCTCTCTCTCTCTCTATCTCTCACTCTTTCTCGCGGTCTCGGAACAGGCCGAGCAGGTTGGCCGTGAGGACGCCGCGCGAACGTGCGTGCGCGAGAGGATCTATGGGGTAGGGCCGAGACCTCGTTGGGGATTACGCGAAAATAATTCAGCGGCTTTTTGCAGCGGCGAAAGCCGCGCGCGTTTCCGATTAATCCGCGGAGATAAGTCCGACTACCGTGCGGCGCGACCGGAATGTATAGTCTCGTTGCTAGTTCGGTTCCTCGCTCGCGTCCTCCTCGTCGGTCGCACTCGAGCGGCCAGCCGGCCGGCGCGGCGTCGATATGCGCTCGTTCGTTGCACATTTTCGTTGATTCGACGAAATTCAACGGCAGACGAGGACGGCTATTCAACGGGCTCCGCGGTCTTGCCGGTCTCTCGCGGGAAATATCTCAAGACCGCCCGAGCAGAAATCAAATGCGGCAATTTTTTATGCCTGATATGGCGTGACTACGCTGAGAGAAAAGTATATGATATTTGGAACTATAATGATAGAGTAACTAAATTATGGTCCGAAATATCATATTTATAGCAAGTATTGCCATAATATCGGTAATAATTACGATATAGGCATAATATAATCAAGCATATAATATTTTTACCCGGAATTACCCAGAATATTTTTACCAGAATTATAGTAAGTTAAACTAAAATTGTTGCATGGATGCAAATATAAAATTAGGTAGGTAAAGTAACTCTTTTATATAGATTACAATATTACCAGAATATCTGCTAAATGATGACAGACGTAACTATATGAATATTAAATCTCACTATATTTGTGAATGAGAAATTACCATATACGTGGTAAAAGTAACTAAACAATTATTTAAGACAATCATTGACTATATATTTGTGTTTATTCTACTATATTTTGCAAGTTTCCACGAACTATAAAAATATGATTGACGCCGAAATTAGCTATAAAATATAGTGAGATTATAGTTAATTCAACTATACTTTTCTATCAGTGTAGGCAAGCCGTAAGAAGGCGTTATGAGTGGTCGTTATCCGGTCGGAACGTGGCAATTGTCTCGCAATATTTTCCGGATTATACTCTGACCAGCGATGACGTCATTATTCAAATGCCTGATTTGCTCCTGATGGGCATTTGATCAGGTTTCTCGATTTCAGGCAATTTTATCAGGGCATTATGCAGCAGTGCGTTTCAGCTCCTTGTTACGTGCCGGATCTGATAAAGTTATCCGGGCCCTGTTTGAAATTTGGAAAGCGGACTGGGTTTTAATATGGCCGCGGGGCGATGTTCTGCTCGGGCGGGTCAAGAACTCGTACAGCCCCTTGAGTCACTTGGAGAGAAAGAGATTCCCCGATACACTTGGAAATGGGCGAGCGATCCTGTTCGAGACGCGACCTCGGCGGAGAGTCCTCGGCGCTGATCCCTGATTGCGACATTGTATCACCGAACTAGATAAGCGAAACGAAGCTGAGCTCGTGCTCGCCACGCCGGTTCGTGAACGCTGATCCCGCGCGCCCCCCGGAACCGGTCGCCGGCCTCATTATGGATTAATTAGCACAAGCGGAAATCATGCGCGAGCCCGACGTTCGTTGCGCGATCCCGATCTCGAGAACTCCCGCGATTCCGCAATTGTGCGCGGCAGCTGGAGCAAAGGTTGCGCTCTCGCGACGACGACGACGACGACGACGACGACGACGACGACGACGGCGGGGCCTCTAAGTATCTCTGGTTTTCCACGGTATACGAGTGGATGCAAAAGCGCCTTTAATTAGACGATAATCTGCAGCCACCGGGGCTATCTCCGCGGGATCGTTTCCTCGCTCGCTCGCCTCCGCCGGCCTCTGAAACGCTCGCGGCACGATGCGCCGCTCGCAAATGGAGATTCGCGCTTTATCAAATCTCGACACGGAGATGTAACAGTCGAGCTAACTGACTGAGGCGACCGAGTATATAGAAGCGGAAGAGTAATGCTCCTCAAGCCTTCATCTTGCAGTTTCCATCTCGCAATTAACAACGTCATATTAGTAGCCGTTGCAGGCTGCGATTTACCTCTAGATTCAATCGCACCTTTCATTCGCCGACGGAAGATTAAGAAGCCTCGGAAGGCGCGTTGAAAAGTGCGAATTTTCCGCTCAACTCCGCGAGGGCCGGAAGATCGCAACGCGGTGATTTTCGCCCCGCTGCGAGAACGCGTTCGCGTGATTTACTTGTTTATTTACTTACGCGTCCGGAAGTTTCGACCGCGGAGAGTGCCCCGTCAAAGCTCAGGCGCGATCATTTCGGGACGCATTTGGTGCACACAAACCCACAAAACGCGCGGTTTTCGTCCCGCATCGGTCGCGGCTAAATCGCCCGGTGCCGAGGCACGCATCATTTCCGACGTAAAGGAGTGCGCGAGTGCACGCAGGCGAAAGAATCGGCCGGCATTCTCGCTGCTCGCGTCGATTTAGCGAGATGCGACCAGGGATGCAACGATAAATCGATAATATCGAAATATCGAGAGACAAATATCGAATAATTATCGATATGAATTTTACTGATTTTCGTATTTTTCAGTTACAGCTCCGGTGGCCTATTACGGTTCTACGACCGAGATGAAAATTACAAAAGTGAGTGAATTCACTAGAATATATAATATATAATTACTCGATGTCTGGTAAATTCGCTCACTTTTATCATTTCCACCTCAATCGTTGAACCGTAATAGATCCCCTGCTTCATGTATGCGGTGATCTCCGGCAAATGACTGCGGTTCATTGTATATTTTTAGAGATGTGCGAACTATTCGAATCCGAATTCCTATGATTCGAATCCGAATAATTCGAAAATTTCAAATCGAAGATTCAATTACGAATCAAATATATTAACGTGCATTATATTTACATGCATCGGGTACAAAACGAGCCATCTGGGCCCTTAACTTGTAATTAACTCAACTTATAACTAATAACTTAATTATAAATTACTTTAAATATTTAAATATATATTTTACTGTAAGATGATATTACAATATCAATATCCCCTTTCATATTTAAATTTTCCGTCGTTATGTGCATGTTTAATAGTCATGTTAAATTTTTTAATGATTCGATTCGATTCGAATTCGAATTAAAAAAATGAGATTCGATTCGATTCGATTCGACATAAAAATTCTTGATTCGCACATCTCTATATATTTTCTAATAAGAATACGACAATAAATTATATACGAAGATAAAAATTTTTAAAAGATCTCTTCAAATTTTTCGTGCATACCCTTTATATGCATACCCCTATATGTATACATCTTTTTATATAAATATCGATATTTTTCAAAATTATCGATATTATCGTTATCGATGGTTCTGAATGACGATAATATCGTTAACGATATTTTGAGAAATCGTTGCATCCCCAGATGCGACGAATCCACTTTCATCGAGGACGCGCGCTGACTCGGCGGTAAGGATCCTCCGGAATAACAGAGCCCGGCCGTGCGCTCGCGCTCGCTCGCCGATGATTGCTCGCATTCGACACACTTTGAATTTCCGTAAAAATCCCGTCACGCGTGGCGAGCGTTCGAGGAGCACGGAGGAGGGCCCGGACGCAGCCGTGGAAAATGCCTCGCTGATATCGAGACCCCCGCTCGCCATCCTGCGTCGTGCGTGGCGCATTTTTGTGATCCTCCCAATGACGTATACAACTAGACCAAGCATTCCCTCGAGGGAAGTGAAGCCGGAAGTTGGCAGTTTACGACAGAGTGAGAACGTTGCACGGCATTCAGCCTCTCTCACTCTATCCTATAGACTGTCAAAAGTAATACGACTACGTAAATCATGTGAACGTTGAATGCAAATATATATCTGCATTAGCAAGTTAAATATATATTATAAGCATGAGTAATTAATAATTGCACAATATGTAGAGTTATCGATACCATATATTATTCTGAGAATGAATATTTCGACACGTTACATATACTATTTTCCAAAAGTTGTTCACTGTCAAACTTACCTGATTAGTACTTTCTCACTCGGTTCTACAGCTGTCAAACGTTTGCGAGCAATGTGAATAATGCGAATGCTGAATGCGAATTTGTACATTTGCATTAAATCGTGTAAACATTAAGTACATGAAATATATATTAGAAAAATAAGTATCAGAATGATGCAACAGCGAAAACTGCTCAATGCACGTAGATGTATATCTTTGCACTCAATGTTCACATAACTCACGTGCTTCGTACCGCGCCATATCGCTTTCGACAGTCTAGATAGAATAGAGTGAGAAAGGTTTGATGCCGTGCATGCCGTTCTCAGTCTGTCGTAAACTGCCAACTTCCGGCTTCACTCCCCTCGGCCGTAAGCTGGTCGAATGCTTGCTCTAGTTATATAGTACGTCATTGGATCCACCGATTACAATGTATTTCTGTCATGCTTTACATTGTTTTTCTCGCGACCTTTCAATTACAAGAGTTTTCGCTGTTTCTCGCGCGCGGCATTTTTTTATTTACTTCGTCTGTCTCTCTCTCTCTCTCTCTCTCGCTCCCCTGGTCAGTAGGGGTGGCGAGCTTTCATCTCGTCAATCTCGAATCTCTTATCCGACCATCGTATTCAAGCGCATAATTATAACGCGTAACTCATTACAGCTATAAATTTGCAGCTACGCGTGCGTACCGCGACACACACAGGTGTGTGGATTTACGCACCTGCACACCGGCGCGGCGACGCAGGTGGTGAATCAGCGCATTATGTCCGCATTTTCACGCTCTACGTCCGATCGCTCTCATAATGGAGAATGCATTTTCCGCCGCGCGGGCGTATCGTTTGTTTTGTTAGACGCGCGGGCGAGGCAGGCGATGGCGCGACGAAAAACCCGTTGATTGAAAGTACCGTGGACTCTTTTCCGAACGTCCTCCGCGCAGGATGATCGAGCGGTATCCTTCGCGTGTTGATCGATTGGTCACGACGCGCTGTCCGGTAATATACCAAATGAAAATCACCGGTTTCTTCCACAAGGAAGACGGCTCCGTATAGGACGCTTACCTCCGGCACGGTGGTCTCGTACGGCGTGTTGATGAATTTCGGCGCATTGTCGTTGATGTCGGACACCCTCACGATCATGGGGATCTGCCGTTTCTTGCCGGTGGACCTTACCGTGCAGATGAGCTGGAACAGCCGAACGGGGAAAGGAGGTAAAATGAAAAGACGTAGAAACTCTGGACCAGCCGCTCGCAGCAGCGCAAGCTGTCGTCTTAAACTTGACACTTGAGTGCCGTCGAAAGAGAATTTAACGCTGAGCGGATGAAAAATGTGTACACCTACGCGCTCAGCACACACATGCAGGTGAAGGGAGAACGGAGGACATTATAGCGTCTCGCCGTTGCGTCGCTCCTCCGAAAGTCGCGCTTCTTTGTGAATCGCGCACTCGTAGGGTGAAAAATGAACGGCGGGTCGAAGCTGAGGGAGATGGGATACAGGGAAGACGGTGTTCCGACGTGAAATCCCGAAGTGAAAATATGTAACTCAGCCTGATTACTCGGGCGGTTTTCAGTGATAGATGAAGTGACGCAAGCTGCGTAAAGTTACAAGCGCGATCGTTTCGTTACGTCGACGACTGCGGCTCGCCGGCGTTAGTCGACGCTGCGACCGAGCGAGGTGATAATTAATTAGCTCCGGTCGTCGGATTCATTTAGCTCCGCGAGCTGAGCCAGTCGCCGCGCGGATTTTCCGCGACCGATCGAAACGCGTTCTCGATACGAGTGAATTTATATCACGGCTTCGATTTGCATTTCTCGATCTCATTTGATCTTATCCTCGCTCGCTCTAGCCGCGCGAGATGTTGAAGCGTTCGTTACGGTGCTCTAGACCTTTCACGTTGCTCATGTGATGGTGTCACAAGGCGTTGTGCGCACATGTGTGTGTGTGTGTGTGTGTACGTGTGCATACATGGTAAATGCGGAACGAAGCGCCGAGGAGAACGGCGTCTTCAAATCGTGAGCAACAATGTGAACGTGCGAATCTCGCGTGATTTCATGAGGAATGTACCAATTAAGACAAATTAAAAAGTACACACACATTCCAAGATGCTGATTTCACGTGTAATTAAAGCCAAGTTCTGCTTCTTCTTTCGAAACGAGCGGAAACGTATTCTCAAACACGATGCGTCTCGTCAGTCGCCTGCGAAAGAACATGCGCGAGGATTAACTGAGACTCTGTCGAGAGGAAAGAAGGCTCTTTATCGAATGACTTTCGTAAGGAAGAAGGGATCTTCCCCGAAACCGAACGACCGCTCGCGCCGACAATTAGCGCAGTCGATACGCGAGAGGCCGTTTCGGATTTTACAACTTTCCGCGGCTTGTTTCGCCGACAAGTTGCCGGCTTCCGCTTTCGCGGCGAATTCGCAGCTCGTTAATGGCGCGGATAATAAGAAAGCGTTCTCTCCGGGCAGGCGGTTGGGGATTCCCTTCCCGGAGAAGCGGAGGAAGTTTCTTGCGCCGATCAAATAACGGCATCCTTCTCAAAAGCGCAACCGATACTCGCGAGGTGGATTCAGATATTTAATGATCACGTTTAACGTTCGCTAGAAGAAGATAAACTCCTCGGGATAACAACCGCCGCGATTCTCCCGTCTGTTCGCGCAGCGCTGGGGCTCGTAATTGAAGAAATATTGGCATCTCGACGTTGAAAGCTATATTACTCGCGCGTCTTCCGCTATTTACAGTCGAGAGGGGGATGCCGACGGTGTCCCTCCCTCCTCCTTCGCGCCTGAAAGCACCGACAACGGAGACGTTATCTCGTTTGCCGAAAATTCTCTCGCGATTACGAACGTCGGCTGATGTTCCAAGGTAGAACAATGTGGACGCGAGGTAGAGGAGAAGGCAGCGACGGGACAAAGCGACCAAGCCGTTGTCGCGTAATAAGCGTGGCGTAATAATCGGAAAACCGCGAGTCGAGACGCGCGTGTAAAAGACGGAGATATCCGAGAGAGTTCTTACAAATAAATCTCGGGAAACGTCAGACGCCGATTTGTTTCCAGTTTTTTTTACAGTTATTTTTATGTCAAAATATGAAGAAATCTGTTGTCATTTTAGATATCATATTGGATATCATATTAGATATCTGTTAGCATTTAGCTCAAATTAATTTTTTCAACTTTTTCGAAATTTTTCAAGTTTTGCACAAGTACACTATTTTATACATATTTAAAACAATATTTCTTAAAAATATGTGTATCTGATTTGTTGAAACTTGCACACACACGTCAGTCGCCGATTATGAATCAGAACCATTTTGTAAAATTCAAAATGGCGGATCTAATATGGCTGACGTAATTGTTGAAAAAGTGTTCAGTTTTACGCTACGTTCGACGTTGGGTAACGACCGAGTTTACACCTCTGCAAAATTTTTTCTCTTCTTCTTTTGTTCATTTCTCGTTCATTGTTTACCAGATTTTGACGTTAAAATGAGCTTGTTTGCTGGACAATGAGCCGAAAGATTACTTGTGCAAAACTTGAAAAATTTCGAAAAAACTGAAAAAATTAATTTAAGCTAAAAATGACAACAGATTTCTTCATGTTTTGACATAAAAAATAACTATGAAAAATTGGAAACAAATCGGCGTCTGACGTTTCCCGAGGTTTACTTGTTAGCCGCGCGCGCTCGCGGCACGTGCGCGTTATTGATTATCCAGATTCCTGTCGCCCGTAGTGATTTTCAACGTGGCGATTTGTGTCGCGCGCTGCTCCCTCGGCGACTTTATCGTAGAAAGCAGCCAGGCGATATTTCATGCTTCGCGAGTCGAGAGCGCGAGCGGAGCGGAGCCGCGGCCGACGCACGCCGCGCCGTAAACTTTCCCGGCTGGACGCGTAGGAAAGGACACGTGCGCGCCGATTGATCGTCACGCAGTCATCTGCGTGATGGTGGTGAACCACCATCTGGACGACGGCTAGCGAACAGCGCTTTCGAATTTCCATCAGCTCGCGATAGTCCCTTAATTAGCGCCGACGGTGCACGCCGCAATTGCCGCCGCCGCCGCCGCCGCCGCTGCTGCTGCTGGAACTTGTTGGAACGTTGAGTACGAGAGTGTTTTTGCTTCGCAACGGCTTTGCTTCTAATTTCTTTAGAATATATTTGCAATAGCGGAGAGCAGTTTCGCGCGAAGGAGTCGCATGATCGGCGCGCGAAATATCGCGTCGATCGATGTAGCGTTCACAGAGTCGCTTTACTCCGTCCCATAAAAAATCCCGTATAATATCTTATTAAGCCCCTCTTAAGTCCGGATTAATTTGTAATCGCCCGCGGACACGTTCGGTAATCCCGCGAGAGATTAAGGTCTCTTACCTGAATAAGTGTATGCGAGAGATTTTCATCGTCCCTGTCCAGTGGCTGTATTAATTGCATTTTCTTGCCGTTCAGTTTGAAGAAAGGTTGCCTCCCCGTGAAGTTCAGCTCCAACATCGTCTCGTTGTACGGATCGCCGGACACCGGCAACTCTTCCGGCACGGTCTTCTGATCCACCGCTGGAACGGGAGAGAACACTGAATGCGATTTCCGTCATGTATGTCGATTCACCTTACATCTGAGATGGCGCGAAACAGCTCGCGCGGCAGCGCGACGGAAGATCCACTTTCGTGGAATTTTCAAGAAACGGGAAATATCTCCGGAGAAATTCTCCGATTCGACGATATCGCCGATCAGTTGTTCTCAATCGGACAAACAATGGCATGTATTGTCTGAATACGATAATGAGAAGTTGCGGCAAATTACTGTCGCAGAAAGGTCACCGAGACAAATGGGAATTTATGCGTTCGTCGAAGTTTCGCGTTAAGTTCGTTTCATTAAGAAACATGTGTGAGAAAGTTACTGCTATATCAAATTGAGAGAGAGAGAGAGAGAGAGAGAGAGAGAGAGTTGTGAAAGAGGAATAATTGTCTCGACGAGCTGCTTTATTATTTATGTAATACAACTTCCTCGAGCAAATATCAACGTCTTCTTGTGTAACAGTTCGGCGGATTGACGCCAATCTCGAGCGATATCTCATTAGTGAAAGTCGGCACAGTTTAATTGCAACGTATTCTACTTGTTCTACTTTTCCGATATTGCTCTCCGCCGATTTTCGTCGTCGACAGCCTCTCTGTCCTGTAATTATTTCTCTTAGCGAGAATCTGACGTAACCATCCGGATAATCGGGATAACCAAACATTAGCCAAGCAGATCCCGATACTTATCCGATATACCTTAGAAATCGCGACACGCGGTATACGCGCAACACCGTCGCGCAGCGACGCTCGAATATATTTCAATGCGAAAGCAGAGGGTATCGGGAACTATTATCGCACAAAATACGGAGCTTACCGCGCGCTGCTCCGTTCGACAAGTTTCGACTCGCTGAGATACTTGGCATTTACCGCATAGCTATCCGCTTTACATCGCGTCAGCTAACCGTTGGCGGATCCGAGATCGCGGCGATTAAATCGAATCCACTTTCGCGCTCCCACTTTGAAGCTTCGATGCGTTATGCGCGACGCGACGCGAATGTATTACTGCTCGCGCCCTCGCGGGAGTGCAGTAACGAAGCCGTTTCCTCCGTCAAAATAGTGCCGCCTCGAGAATCGCTCGCCAACAAAGACGTTGTCGTGCATTATGCATGCGCCGGGCGAAGAGAAGAGGCTGAACGAGATAGTTGTTTAGATCTGCGCGCTACAAGACGATTCCGCGGGGATACGGCCGGTCGCGCGCGAACAGCGTGACTGGCTCGATTTCGATAGTCATCGGTCAGCTCCCACGACCGCTAAACGCGCCGTAACTTCCGCGTAATGGAACGCCGGAGTTGTGACACACATACGCATGCGGTCTGGAGAAATCGGATTTATTCCGCGAATATATGGCGTTCGCCTAAGGCCCGTGTCACACTACGGATTGTAGATCAAGGATTGCGGATTGAAGATTGATATTTGACCAATCGGAATGAAGCAAATCAGAAGCTAAGTTCGTTGATTCGTCGAAATCTAATCTCCAATCCGCAATCCTTGGTCTTCAATCCGTAGTGTGACACGGGCTTTACACGATCGATCCGATCGATAGCGCGACGTCGGGCGAACCGGAGCGCGGATGACCCGCGAGACGTGCTTCGCAATGTGAAAGAAGGAAAAATAAGAAACAGTAGGATGTACGGCGACGAAACTTTTCTCACGGTACAAACGTTCTCCCGTTATGTCCCGCGGCTAAGCTACCGAAGAAAGATACGGAACGATGCTGATAACAATGCGAATTGTAATGACAATTGAGCGGGAACCAATGGAGAGCGAGAAAGTATCGCTCGATCTGGATTTAAATATGTGCCTGTGTTTGATCTAAAACTACAAACGTAAGTTGGATCTACACTAGGAAAAATTTTTACTTATCGTTGCGTGGACCAAAAGTTTGTTGCAACAACAAAATAATTTGGTTAAAATATGCCCAACAAGACTGTTTAGTCCCTGTAAACAGATATCTTGTTTGATTACGGTTTGTTCGTGTAACGTATAATACTTTTGTTATAGCGACCAAAAAGCTTTAACTATATGAATTTTGTTAAAAATACTATAATTTTTTCTTAACATATAAAATCTAAATTTTAGTGCGCAGAAAGACAAAATAGTATCCATCGGGCATTATTTTAATTCAGGTAAAATAATATTTCGTTATCGTGTAATTTTTATGGACAAAATAACTAAAATGCTTAATTTTTATACACGAAGTCTAAGAACAAAATCATTTGGTCCAGAGAACAAAGCAGAAAAATATATTTACTTGAGACAACTAAATACTTTGTTGTATAAAACAAGATATTTGATTGCTATTAAAAATATGCCCCAACCAAACAGTCTTGTTAGAGACACTAAATTTTTCTTTCCCAGTGTATACTGTCGATTTATTCGCATGTTACTTTATGTATGATTTCGCGCTTTTAATTTATTTAATTTATATATCCTCGCGATTAATTTCGTTCAACGAAAAAGACGCGAAGCAATTAGCCGTGAGGAAAATCCGAAAGCCCGCGCGAGCACTTACCATTTCCTCTGCTCTCCTCGATGTCAAGGATGATCGACTGTCCCGCTCCTTCCACCTCGCACAGACCTGAAACATACAACGTGCGGGAGAAACATCTCGTGGCGGAGGAGACACGCGTGGAAGGAGGAGGCTCGCGCTTATGCGATCTCACGACGTCCCGTGGGGATCAGGCAACGCGGCGCACCTGTCGCGCGACTTCCGCGTTTCGTCTATCTCCGCGGAGCGAAGCGGCGGCCAACACACGCCCGCGCTCTCGCGCGCGCGGACAGGTGCGAGAAATCCGCTTGGCCGGGAACGTGACGCGGCGCGAAGCGCAGAGCGCGAGGGAGAAAAGATTACGGCGGATCGTGAGCGCGACGCGCGCGCCAGCTGTTACAGGCGGCCGCGCCGCGCCGCGCCGCGCCGCGCTGAACGGCGGCGATTTTCGTCTTGGCGTCTCGGCGCGGCCGGACGATTTAATCGGGCTGCACGCTCAACGAACACGCGAGAGCCTAATTACCGACGCGGCCATTATCGCGCGTTGTACACGGATGCGTTACACCGTCGAGTGATTTACCACGGTAGCTCCTCCGCGTGTTAAACGCGCACCTTCCGCTTGGCCCTCGCTCTAATGCCCTCATCACGACGGTTGAATAATCGAGCGTCAGCGAACGAGAGACGATCGAGAGTTGGACGAAAGAGACTTTCGTCGGCGTGTCTCGCATTCGCACTCGCCGCATTATTCATTCCGCATCGCGTTACGATCTCGCGAGTCATCTTATATCGGAACTCGGTCAACGGTGCACTTTCCTCGGTAATGACGACGGGGTCTTCGGGACGAGGATCTCGGAGGGGGATCTCGAGGGGGAGAGCAGCATTCGTGTTTCCTCGGCGGGATTTCACTGTGTCTGCTTAATCGAGGGGAAAGCTTCTTCTCGATGGACGACGAACGGCGCGCGCACACAGAGTTCTCACCTGACGGCGGGGTCGCGCCGCGAGCAGACAAAAGGCGCGTCGCTCGCGAAGGAAGGCGCGCGGCCGCGCGATCTTTTCCGCGAAAGGTTACGCGTCGTGCGCGCTAATGGCCCCGCGAGGAGATGCGCCGCGTCTTGTTTTCAAGAGAGGTACCAGCCGGCCGATCGTACAACGCTGTACGCGACATTTGAGGCCTCCTGCGCGCCTCACCTACTTCGCGCCGAATGCCGCACGTGACTTTCGTTGCCGCGGGGGGCCGCGCGGAGGGACGAGAGAATCCGCGCGGAGTAAATACCCCGCGGCGAAGACAATACCTCGAGCGCCGACTCCGCCGTGCCGGGAAGCGCGACGTTCTTTATTGATAATCTTCTACCGAGAGACGGAGGCGTTATCGAAGTGTGAGGTTTATTCATTTTATACACGGTGGAGGGAGGGATATTGTCTCCCTCCGTCTCACCTCCGTGTTGTGTTATTCATCTCGTGCGCTGAGAATAAAGTATATGATATTTGGAACTATAACGATATAGTCACTTAATTATAGTCCGAAATATCATATTTATAGTAAGTATTACCATAATATCGGTAATAATTACGATACAGGCATGGTGAAGGGTGTCCCAAAATTCACGCAAGAATTTTGAATTTTGCGCCATTTGTGCGGTAAAGTGTTGCCGAAACGAAAAAAAAAGACAGCGTGACAGCTGACAGTTTAGGCTTTTTAAACTGACCACGCACAGCGAAGAGAGTTGGTTGAATGGATTATGGGACAGCAACAACAAGTGGATGCTGATTTTTCGAACAAAATCATCTTCAGCGATGAGGCTCATTTTCATCTCGATGGTTTGGTTAATCGACAAAATTGTCGCATTTGGGTGGTTCAGAAAATCCACGAGTGATTGTTGAGAAACAAATGCATCCAGTGCAACGTGTCACTGTTTGGTGCGGATTTTGGACTGGAGGCATCAGCGGACCATTCTTCGGAAGAAAATGCGGCTGTTCAGGCAATAACAGTTAATGGTGCTCGCTATCGCGACATGATAATCCAGTTTCTTGTGCCTAAATTGCAAGATATGGATGTGGACGACATGTGGTTTCAACAAGACGGTGCCACATGGCATACAGCCCGAGAAACAATTCAATTACTGCATGAGTCATTTCCTGGTCGTGTAATTTCCCGTTTTGGTGATCAGATCATGCGATTTAACGCCGTTGGACTTTTTTCTTTGGGGTTTTTTGAAGTCTAAGGTTTATGCCAACAAGCCCACGACAACACCCACGCCTTGAAGGAGGAAATTGAGCGCTGTATCAACGAAATTCAGCCACATTTATGCAAAACGGTCATGGAAAATTTCAACAAAAGATATGCATATGATATGCCAGCAAAGCCGTGGAGGCCATTTACTCGATATGCTATTCCGTACATAACCCAGTATATTTTGCAGGTTCCACGAACTATAAAAATATGGTTGACGCCAAAATGAACTATAAACTATATAGTGAGATTATAGTTGATTCAACTATATTTTTCTATCAATGTGTAATGACAACAAATATTTATGCAGTTTTTACGCTTTTACGCTGAGGAGTAATGCGTTTAATAAGAAATTTTTTTTCTCCGTTTCTTTCTTTTTTCTGTTTTTCTTCTTTTTCTTTTTTTTTACTCTTTTTCCCTATTTATTGTACAAGAATTTTCTTACTCGTTATACTACTGTCTCAAGTACCGTATACCAAAAGGGTCAGACCCGTGCATCATCAATAAATAAATAATAAATAAATAATACGTAATTGACGATGTAATTTTTTTTAATTGAGGAAATAAAATGAGACTGGGAAGTAATAATCGACTGATAAACAGATAGAGTGGCGGCTAATTTGCATAGAATCTTCGTGCAAATGCGTGTTCGCTGCTTTCAGCGCCCGCTCTTGTGCGTGTCAGCGAGATTCTTGACAAGCTTTGTTTCGCTCCCCGTCAAGCAGCTGCAATTAGTCGAGCAATTCGGGCCCGGGACGCGGTAATCCAGTTCGCACGACCTCGTCAGCCAATGCTGCGCGCGTTCCGCGGCTCGCCGCCGAGCTGCGAGATCGCGCGGATATTCGTCATTTCGCGCGACATTTCGCCCGTCCGGGGCTTTCGTAAAGCCCCGTTGCGTAAATCTCCCGGCCGCTCCGACACCGTCGAGCCCGCGATCATTCTTTTCACGTGTAGAAAGCGGCCGCGGCGTTGGAAAGCGCATATTGCAGAAATATATTGTTCGTCGTGCCGATCGCAACCCATATTCGCCATCCGCGCTCGCACGGCCGACGTGACCGACAATTTCCAGCTAAAACGAGTCTGTTATTCCGCCAAGCTGCGTCGCGACCCTCCCCGGCGCATGTGATTCGCGTCCCGTCGGACGTGTGTAATTCCGTTTGCGACTCGCCGACGTTCCGCTTCCTCGACGCGCCTTTCGTTTCCACGTGTACCGTTTGTCGGAATTCACGCGCGAAGTCGCGCAATGTCTCGCCCGCGCGATTTCAAGCTGCAGACGATCTCGCCAAGTGTAATATGCGGCCAAAGAGCCGCGGCTGCACGATCTCACAGCGTGCCGTTGATGGCTCTTAGTCAAAGTAGCCGGTGCTCACACAGACACTCGATTGGCAATATTGAGACTGGCGTCGCGTGAGAATCGATGCTGAAAGTCACAGGCGGTGCTGGCCGGCCGCCTCGCGCGGACAACTTTTCAGCACGAAATCCATTATCGAGACAGTTCTGCGGCACGTCGGCGGTTGTATGTGTACACATATCGGCGAAAGTTCCGCATCGTCTGGATTTCCGCAGAGCCGCACGTGCATCACTTCACAAAGGAGCGAGCGACGAGTCGCGGGGAAAGTTCACGGCACCCTATCGCAAGCATCGCCGAAAGATTGCGGAGCGACGTCCAACGCCAACCCGGCCCGGCTCGCTCGCTCGCTCGCTTGCTCGCTCACGGAAAGAAGGATAATGGGATTTCGCGCCGGTAATCGTCCCGTCTTTCAGCACCGCGCGTTTTTCGCGCCGCCACGTGCGTGTCGCCTCGATCTCCGCCCGGCGTGAATCACATTTGAAATTCGCTCGCCTTAAAACACCGCGGAAACCGCGCCTATTTCTCCCACCACCCGACGAATTATCGCGGCGGAATGCGCGTTTTATCCGACTCGCCGAGCCATCTATACTCGTCGTTCCTCCTCTGTCTTCTTCTCTCGCGCGCGTACGCCCTTTTCCTGCGTTGCAGGAAGACCGTTCGCTGTGGTCGCCGCAAGGATCCTATCGACTCCTCGCGGAGTGAATCTCCGCGAGACGTCGATGTCTGAATCTACGGGGGAGAGAGACACGCGCGATAGATAACGGATGGAAATTCGAGACGCGCTACGTCGTGAAACCGTTTCATCGCGTGCGCGCGCGTTCTCACGAAAGTGGGAAACGCGAAGGAGAGCGGTGGTGCCGCGCACTGATAGGTAAACCTATCTACCCAAGTGTCACATTCCGATTTTGATGAAATTTTGCATGCGTATAGAGCATCGAAAAATATTAGACACGTTTTTTTTTTTATATCGGCCCATAAAGCGTTTTAAGGGTAGAAATTATCATTAAAATGTCAATTTTTTCGCTTTCTTCTCCTGTACATAAATACTCGATGTCAAGAAATGTTTGAGAAAATAATGTTCCCAGAGGAACACATCAGCTGTGTTTATGCTACCAAATCCGAATTCACCAGAAAATTGGAGACTTTCAACATGGCGGATTCAATATGACGGATCGATATCTGAAGAATATCATATTCTTCGAAAGTTCGTGTACATTTATTAATTTCTCGTGAGTCATGTATCTCAAGGTATTCAGAATTAAAAACTATAATACATAATCAAATTTAGAAAACTATATTTAATAATATATACTTTACATATATACTCATTAGCCGATATAATAGGTCTACATATCTTCATTATTTGGGCAAAGCAGCCTAGAGAAGCCACATACGAAATCATACATCAATTCCAAAAATTGATGGAGAAATGTTTTCAAATTTTCATCCGCCATGATGAATCCGACATTTTGAGTTTCAAAATCTGATTCTAGATTTGCTTCTCACTTTGAAGACCTTGAGATATGTAAATCGCAGAAAATTAATAAACGTATGCAAATTACGACAGAATCATGATATTCTTCAAATATCGATCCGCCATATTGAATCCGCCATGTTGAAAGTCTCCAATTTTCTGGTGAATTGGGATTTGCTAGCATAAAAGCAACTGATGCGTTCCTCTGGGAACATTATTTTCTCAAACATTTCTTGGCATTGAGTATTTATAGTACAGGAGAAGAAAGCGAAAAAATTGACACTTTAATGGTAATCTCTACCCTCAAAACGCTTTATGGGCCGATATAAAAAAAAATACGTGTCTAATATTTTTCGATGCTCTATACGCGTGCAAAATTTCATCAAAACCGGAATGGGACACTTGGGTAGGTTTACTTGTGAGTACGACTTTTCAGGTTCCCAAGCTGAGACAACGTGACGTGTGAGGGAAATGGGAAACTTGGAATTCAAAGGCCACACAACGCTCGCTGCACAGGGCCCGCTGAATAGGGCCCGCCTTCTCGAGCGTTCGAGCGGGAGGCAAATGGATAGTCGCGCGTCTCGCACAGCAGATCGCGGCGGCCGCGATCGGCCGCGAGTTCGGAATGAATCGACTCACTTAGTCGTCGCGATTCTCCCTATCAGCTTTCGCACGCTTCAGCGCGCAACAATGCTGCGCTAGGCCGCGACCTGCCTCGCCACGCGCACGCACGCGCGCGCGTACATACACCCGAGTTAATTAATATGAAGCCTTCTTTCCTCGCGTTACGCTCGCGCAGCGACGAGAAACAATCGGGCCCGTGTGTGTGGGAAACGAGAGAATTCGCCGGGTCATTGTCAGGTGCGCGCGTGTGCGCGCGCAGATACGCTTAAAATTTAATTACGTAACGGTGGTAAATCAGACGCGGCGCACAGAGAGAGAGAGAGAGAGAGAGAGAGGCATGAATAACAGCGTGCTTCTAACGCGTGCGACGCACAATACGCAACGGTCCGCGGTTCGGCGGTAAAAGCCGGCACCAGCACCAGCGAGAGGCTCGCTCGCACATACCTTCGCTCGCGTGCCGTTAATCCGCGTCCGACGACAACGATAAAACGCGAACACCCATCAGCCGTGACGTAAGTAATTGGCAATCAGCCGCGATAGATTTACGCGTGTGGGAAACCGCAGCGAGCCGGACCGGGCCGGGCTTCATTTCGTTCGGTTCTCGGCTCGGCTCGCCGAGCGAGCGTTTCTGCGAGCGTTTCCACGTCGCGAGGATGATCCTCTTGACGCGTTGAACGCGCGGTGACCTGGGTCGTCGCGCGCGCGCGCGCGCGCGGACCCAGGCATTGGATTACTCGCGTCAAACATGATTAATCGCGTTGCGTCTGAAAAGTTGCGTCTGCACCGCCAAGAGGGAGTTAATGAGACGCAGCGGAGACGTGCCAAATTGCATTTCTTCTTCGCTGCATCTTCGCAGGAATCGGATTTTCTCCCTTTTGAAACGGTTATTGTTTTATTTCCGACACACCGTTCGCTTATTTCTGCCCTTTGCTTGTCGCGTAATCTCGCGCGCCGGAGGTGCTGAGCTTGTCATGTTTCCGGAGATATCGAGTTTTCATCTCAGAGTGCTCTCCAACATTTTGGATATAATGGAAACGGCGCTTTCAATGGGAAACGTTGAAAATGTCTCTCAGCCGTAGGAAGACCTTTCGAAATCCTTTGCTACCCGAGGAATATCAAATTGTGCATCGAAACGGACAGACAGAGAGAGAGAGAGAGAGAGAGAGAGAGAGAGAGAGAGAGAGAAAGAGAGAGCTCATTTTCTCTCGCTGCCTGATTTTCGCCTGTTAGACATAGCGAACTTTGTATGAAGTAAAGAGCTAAGAATAGAAGAGAAGTTGGATACCCCTGGATTCCTTCCGCATTTTAATATCTCGTTCATCGATTAGTTTACCCTCAAGCGTGACGGTCGACGTGTTAACGAGACACGAAAACCGGTCGTAGAATTACTCACCGACTTTGGAGTAGGCGGCCCGAAGGTGTAGGATTAAGCACAGCAAGCACCAGGACCAGTGAGTCGTTGTTCTCGCCTGCAAGAAGAGAAAAGGGAGGCATCGATTAATCGCGGTCCTCGTCGATAGAGCGCAATTGCAAAGCACGGACGCGAGAAGAGCGCGGATTACGAGGTAAATTACAAATTATGGGACGCGCGAAGAGAGCCTCGCGCGCAATCAGCCGCGCCTGACGAGTTCCATCCCGCGCCAGAGCGAGCATCCTATTCACAGGCTACATTCTTAACCGCCATCACTCACGGCGATCCTTAGCGGTTTAAGGTAGCAGGCACTTCGCGCTGTGAAACATCGCGAAGCGCCCCACGTACTTTCCACAAACTCGCGCCAAGTCCAGCGCGCTTCAACGGATGTTACGCGGCTCCACATTAAGCGCGCGCGAGCGCTGACAGATAGTCCTGTCGCTTTCGAAACGAGTGTCCTATAAATTCGCCGACTACACGCACAGCGAAGGAGGTGTGCTTCGACTACAATTAACGTTCTTTCCCTCCCTCTCTCTCTCTCTCTCTCTCTCTCTCTCTCTCTCTTTAACTTGGAAAAAATCAATCCCTGTCCCTAGGTCCTAAAGACCTCGCAGACTACAAAGTCTGCGAGGATCAAAAAAGTCACGGAGACCAGGGTGTTAACGCATCTCTCGAAGCCGAGAAACAGGATCTCCGTGGGACATCTGAAATTCACGTTTGCGCGCGCAGCTCGATAGACTGAGAGAAAAGTATGTGTTATTTGGAACTACAATATGATATAGTAACTGAATTATAGTCCGAAATATCATATTTATAGTAAGTATTACCATAATATCGGTAATAATTACGATACAGGCATGGTATAACCAACCATATAATATTTTAAGATTATAGTAAGTTAAACTAAAATTATTGTATGGATGCAAATATAAAATGGTAGGTAAAAGTAACTCTTTTATATAGTCAATATTACCAGAATATTTGCTAACTGATGACAGATGTAACTGTATGAATATTAAATCTCACTACATTTGTCAATGAGAAATTATCATATATGTGGTAAAAGTAACTAAACAATTATTTAAGACAATCATTGACTGCGTATTTGTGTTTATTCTACTATATTTTGCAGGTTTCCACGGACTATAAAACTACGGTTGACGCGAAAATTAACTATAAAATATAGTGAGATTATAGTTAATTCAGCTATATTTTTCTATTCAGTGTATGAAATTTCGAAGCGATATCGCACGCAAGAGCCATACAGCCAGAAGCTGTTACAGGGGCGCATCCCCCGCCCCCTCCCTCTTGCTCCTTTTCCCTCGCGGACGCGTCCGCAGGATCTCGAGGAGAGCGCGCAGGATCGATACCGCGCGGCTGGCTCTGTGAGGCCTTATGCTAATGCGGCATCGATGCGCCGTGTGTAATAAGGCCGTGCGCCAGCGCGAATGAAATGCCGAACGAAGGGAAACAATGTTATCGGCGTCGCGTGATCTCTTGGGGGCCGCGCCGCTCTTGGGCCCGCGTTCCTGGGCCCGCACGCTCGCCCCGGGGCCCGCCGGCGTTTCTCACCTGAACACGCGTTCTCATCAGCGCGCCTAAAGCACGATGCTTCTCTCCCCCTGCTTCGCTCTTCTCTCATCCTCCTCTCGCCGCCCTTTGGCGAGGGGGAGGACGCGTGGTCCGCGTAAAGGACCGCGGAGACTCGGCAACATTCGTTCGTTACGGAAACGATTCCGAGGATTCCACCATTCGAGTCGCAACATTTTTTTATATGTTTCATATTTAATTGTGTTCCACTATATTACATTTTTATGTTGCGATTTATCTATTTTCTCCTTTATTTTCTTGGCTTTACGCTCGAGTCGAGAATGAGCTCTCGTGCATTGGAATCGCGCGATGCGTACAGTCGGGCCCACATTGAGAGGAAAGTATATGATATTTGGAACTATAATGATATAGTGACTAAATTATAGTCCGAAATATCATATTTGTTACCGATAATATCGGTAACAATTACGATATAGGCATAATATAACCAACCATATAATATTTTTACTAAGAATTATAGTAAGTTAAACTAAAATTATCGTATGGATACAAATCCATAAAATGGTAGGTAAAGTAACTCTTTTATATAGTCAATATTATAGCAGAATATTTGCTAAATGATGACAGATGTAACTATATGAATATTAAATCTCACTATATTTGTGAATGAGAAGTTAGCATATATGTGGTAAAAGTAACTAAACAATTATTTAAGACAATCATTGACTATATATTTGTGTTTAATCTACCATATTTTGCAGGTTCCACGAACTATAAAAATATGGTTGACGCCAAAATGAACTATAAAATATAGTGAGATTATAGTTAATTCGACTATATTTTTCTATCGGTGTAGTTATAAAATATATATTGTGAGACATACATTCGTTTTCTTTTTCTCTTTTTCTTCGCTTGTTCGCCCCTTTTTCTTTTTCTTTTCTAAAGAATCCCGTCGATCTGTCGTTGTGTATACCTTTGAAGAAAAGCACACAATTGTAATAGAAATATTGAATTTATTCTTGCTTCTAATACCTAACCATTCATATCGTACGAGGTGTGAGTATCGCGTATGAAAATCCGAAATGGGCATTCGGAGCGTTGGAAAACAATAACGATCACAGTGAGGTCAATGGTAGAGAAAACGATGTGTTCACGTTTGGAAGATAGAGACGCGGATCATAAATGATGTCGCGATAGAGGTAGGCAGTTAGTCGCTGTTGGATGCCCGAAGGAGACGTGACATCGCCACTCGTGCGGAAGGTTGGTGAGTGTTAATCAAATCATTGTTTTCTAATGTTCATCGGGGTAATAATGTGACCGGGGTCGAGCATTGTTCTCTCTTACACAATTAGTTGATTTCTCTTAATCCCAAATACCGGTGTCGTCGTGCGTTTCCCCTTCGACACCGGTCCGATTCAGATATTTTCTTGCTCGCCAGACCGGGCTCGCCGTGCGTTTCCCGGGGGGAGGGAGAAGAGGGGGGGGGGGCGGTATGACCTAAGTGATCTGAGCCAGCAGCTGAGAGGGACATCTCGTGCGCTTTCCCTTGATGCTCACTGTACCTCTTGGTGCCTCTTGGTGCCTCACTGTACCTCTATGGTGAGCTTTAGGCTAGGATACGTTTCCGTGATTTCTTCGTGCGTTTTCCCTTGGAGATCTCCGACTGGCCGCCAGCGGTTCGAATGTGCGCATACCCACTCGGACCGCCATTTTTAATCAATTGTCGCGTGAGTTAATTACGCGAAAGCCTGACTCGAAGGTGGTCTGGCACTCGGTGCGTCTCCGTATCCCGCTCGACCTCCGCCGACGAGCGTCTGAATTATATTATCGTTACGCTATCTATTGCTTCTGTTGTGTTTACTACCTCGAACTGCTCGTCTATTCATTCGGCTCTTAGCGTGTACGCATAAGGCAAATAAACAAAAGAAGAAAGGTCGTGTCTATAGGGACTCGCTGCCATGTTGTCTATACATCCTATACGTTACTCTTATAAATTATAAAATAATTATAAAATAATTATAATCGTACACATGCATGAAGTGGACATTCGTAGAGCGTATTTCGTAGAATGTAAAACAAGCTGAGATTAGCAACAGCCCGAGAGATATTTCACGAGAGATATTCCAATTCCGGCCGGTGAAAAACACTCGCCGGCTACCTCGTAACGTGACCGAGAACGATAACGAACGCGCGCTCGCGTGTTCGCAACAGATAACGTACGTGTCTATGATTTCACGTGGCGGTAATGGAGAAAAATCTCCAGGCGGAGATAGAGAGAGAATTGTATACGAGCCTCCGCAGAGTTCCGTATGGATCTCGCGTGCGAGCACGGACCTCGGCAAGGATCGTGCAGTCGCACCTCGCGCTCAAATTAGGCTATCGGCTCCGGAGGAGGGTCGAGCGTTCGTGCGACCGTCCCAACAGCGTGTACAATAGCCTCCTATATAATAACTCTGCTAGCGATAACGCGATCACGCACTCGCGCTTTCCGCTCGCGCCAGATCTGCATGCTCGCGCGACTTTGATCTTCCCTTCCTTTGAGTTGCCGCTGAGAGTTGCCGGGGACGAAGAAGCGCGTCGATGAAGCGCGCACAGAGAGGACGATGGCGCCTGTTGATTCAGGACGCAGGTCGCTGCTGATGATGACTGATGACGGATATTGGATTCGTCAGGCTTCGTCGTAGATAATTCGTCCGAAAATTGATCGACGAGGCGAAAGCGAACGGCTGTTCATCGGGGAAATTGAGATGTGTACGCAAGGAGGCAAGGAGCGAGAGCCACTTCTGGATCGTCCTGTACACACGCCGGCGGAGCATGCAGACTACAAGAAAGGCTATCCTGCCTGCGAATACCGCGGCCGAAGGAACAGTATCCGCCGAGCCCATACATAGGTATACGTCGCGGAAGACCATTCACCAAACTTTTTCCTCGCGGCCGCGGAGTTTCCTTTCGAAACGCATTTACGAACGCGCAACGGCGGGCTCGCACGGGGCCGGCCGGGGAGTCCGCGAGAGGACGCCGTAATTGATGTAACGAGCAGCGCAACTCCATTCACCGCGCGGGCTAAGTAGGAAAGCGAGCGCGTTCCGTTCGAGTTCCGCGAGTTTACAGCAGATTTTACGTCGCGCCAGCGAGCGGGGCGCAACTTCTCCGCGCGCGCGCGATAATTTGGCGCTTCGATCTTCGCGGGCGGCGCGGCGCGGCGCGGCGCGATCGGCCGCCGTCCTGGAACGGAACGGCCGTTTTATCGGCCTACCGTAATTCCCGCGAATTAGATAATTAACGTCGCGGCGGAAGCCGTAACGTATTGATGAACGAGACAAGATAACCGGGCGCATTCGCTTTCTTGTGATTTACCGATGCCTAAGTGGCGTTGAAAATATGCCACGAAGCGGCCGGCGCGCCGCTACATATCAATTATCGCCGCAGTTGCCGAATTTATCGTTCGACGACTTTCTGCCCTGGACGACTGGTGGAGTCATCCGCCCGGAACGATCGACGTTATTA